ATCAATGCAAAAACGTCCCTACTTTGACGCGTTTATCAGCGATATAAAGTGGTATATACTTCAAACTTCGTCTGATAGCCAGCATCAACAAACGAGAGATACACAGAACGTTTTGGATCCTAACTCGCGGCTGCTCTACAACTTCGCGCCTTCTTCACGCAACGAAGGAGGAAACCACTTCGGTGACTGGGATATTTATAAACGCGATCGGTAGTGGGAGAGCAACTGGTATCGTAACATTAGCAAGTCAGGTAAAGGCGAAAGGAAAGAGAAAACAGAGTGAATCGAGAATGCGTGTGCAGGCAGCACTCGCATGATTGTCACGGAACGACAATACTGGTAGTACAAGTATAGAATAGCCGCGGGATTAGTATGGGCCATAGTACGATCAGTGAGATCGGGAGTTGCCGAACTGACCAGTTAGTCATTGTTAATCGCATCGTGAAAACGGTATGGCACTGTGCTTTCTCTCGAATGCATATTCCCACCTGAGAGAAACTGAAGATGTTTTAACAGGGATTACGATTATATCGGTGAGTACAGACGAACACGTGTGTACATTTCGTTGTTATTCAGGCTATTTTTTCTGTGTGAAAAAATACAGGTATATTTTGTGGATCGATTAGGTTAGGTTATCGAGCTCTCGAGGCCAAGAGAAATCGCATGCGTCTACGTGTCTACACGTGCGTAATTTATCATTGTAAGGTCATTGCTCACTAAAAACGACTCGTTCCGCGTAAATGTTCCTTTGCCGATGAAACCTCTTGTTAGACTGATAATTAAAATTTAGAGCTGGACAAATTACACAGAACGCGCGTAATATAAAAAAATTAGGGACCATCTCGTTGATTTCAATCTTTTAGTTTTCGAAATATTTGCATATGAATTCTGTCTATAAAATGTGCGTCCGTGGCAGCGTATCTGTTAATATTAATTACCTTGACACTTACACATCTCACGTTCCAATATGCAACCGCAGAGATGGTAGAGAAGGGAGTTCCATTTTTAATTTATCGAGGCGTATCAATAACCAGAACGATTTCCTTAAAAACGAATAAGTCGGTGTTAACTCGAGGTGACAATGAAAAGTGTCTCAGTGAAACGAACTCTTCTTTGATATTTTCGATAAGCTAAACTACTTTTATTGAAACGTCCCTTTATTGAAACCTAAGGTGTGTAAAACTTTGAATCGGTCAAATAGTGTTTTCTATACTTTTTTTTAAATATTTGACACGTAAACTAATTGTTCTATCGACGGTCTGTCTTCTAAATCATATTTTCAAAAATACAAATTCGCGTAAAAATCTTCCAGTCCAGTGACTATAACTGTATTACAAAGATCAAATTCTAATGAATAAATTACTGTTTAAATAGATTAAGTCGATATATGCACATCGCAAGTCGATTTTAATGAAAAGTGATTTACTACTGTTCTCTACACATGTATTTGTAATATATCGTGTAATTGTTTCTTTGTAACGGGTATGTTTTAAATGATGACAATTTCATGATAAATCATAAGTTTCTAAGTTATTATGTTCATCGCCTTCAGTTGTTTTCATAGTTCTTGAAACAGATCGACGTGAATTCATGTAATGTAACCACGTTATACAATAACATTTGATACTCAGATTAAATTTCATTGATAGAGAGCGTACTTGCGACCATAAACTTGTGTCCAGCGTTAAAAAAATAACTATTTGTTCTGCTCGTTCAAGTTTATTAAAACTTTTATGCTACCAGCATGTAATAATTTTTCAAAGAATTTTAATTTTCGAATAAATGAATTTATATCCCATCTGTCAGTTCAGTTATTCTTAAAATTCTTTGCAGAAATTTATGCTTTCCGACATTTCATCATAAATCGAAACTAACATTTATAATCGAGAGTGATATATTTGAACATTAAAATATAGATTATGCTCGAACACGAAACTTCTTCGTTTTAGAGAATGATTGAAAAATTAAAAATTAAGAAGAAAGCCTGAAAAAATTAATCCTTTGCACTCGGAGTCATCCTAGACGTTACCTACCAACAGCCATAATGTATTGTAGTGATATTTGATTTAGATAAATTTGTAGACATATTTTTTGCAAAAAAAAATCAAAATTTTATTATTTCTATTTTTAATTTCAATTTCATTATTAATTTAGAACCGTTGGTAACAATTTTGCACATTATTATATTTGCTGTAATAACCGAACAATTTCAACAATTTTAAAGAGCCAAGTCCTTTAAATAATTTTAAATGTCGAATTATATCCGAGATGTTACCAACAATTTGGCAGGACGAAGTGATGTGCTTGTCAAGTGTACTACTTTATTCTAACGATACTTGAAATATATGCTTCTTTTTAACTAGTCATCAAACTTGAAGGAAAAAAAAAAAATGAAATTTCAAAAGTTTGTCGTTTGAAATTTACAATTCCAATTTCTTATAACGTTGATAATCGGCATCTTACTACAAAAGAATTGCTACTTCTATTTCTGACGAACTTGTTTGTTAGGGACGCAGACAAGAGTCTGAGATGGGCGAAATAATATCTTGCCCTAGATGTAAAAGAAGGTGCGATCACACGCCTGAAGAAACATCTGAAGAAACGTTCGGAACTGAACCCCCAACTCTACCCATAGATGCACCCGTACCTGAAGCCACAATTGAAAGTCAAATAGCTGCGAAAAAGAGAGGAAGGTTGCGACAATGGCTGGCATGTATTTCCGGTTAGTTTTCTCTTTTTTTATACTCTTTTATACAATATAGCATTTCTAGATCAATTTTAGTGCTAATAAAGTTGGTGCTAACTGTAGAGAGGAAAATTTCAAAAAGTCCTAGGAACGAGTGAACTTTTTCTTTTTCGATAATATATCGACTACGCATACACTTCTTCTGTTTTTCTATTTCAGCAACCATTTCCATGATAGCAGTCGGCACAGTCTACGGATGGATAACGACATCTCTCTCGCGTCTAATCTCCGGAGAAAACATGCCGTTGAAACTAACGGACGACGAAGGTTCATGGCTCATCTCTCTGACAATAATCGGTTCAATGATAGGTCCATTCGTGGGTGCCAGTTTGGCCGATCGTTACGGTCGCAGTCTGTGCCTAATAGCGTGCAGTGGATTTTTCATCCTCGGCTGGCTTATCGTTCTGCTGGCAACTAACGTCGCAGCCCTGTACGCATCTCGCGTGATTCTCGGCATAGGTGTTGGTATCGCCTACACAACGAACCCGATGTACATCTCGGAAGTGGCCGACACGGAGATCCGAGGCGCTCTTGGCACTTTGACCGCCGTGAACGTGTTCACCGGGTCGCTATTTACTTGCAGCATAGGACCCTGGGTGTCCTACGCAACGCTGGCGAGCATTCTTCTAATACTGCCAATGGTGTTCGTCGCGATATTCATATGGTTCCCCGAAAGTCCTCATTATCTGACGGCTGTCGGCCGAAAGAAGGAAGCGTACAAATCGATAGCGTACTTCAAAGGGACCACCAATCGCAGCGCGCTGAATAGGGAATTGCAGTTCATTTACAAAATAATCGACAAAGATTCATCACTTAAATCGAACCGCAGCACGGAGATGAACAGGCAATCGTGGTTGGGCAGGCTGCGACTGATGAAACAGCCCTGCAACGTAAGAGCTCTGTGCATTATCATTGGGTTAACAGCGGCGCAACAATTCAGCGGAAACTTCAGCACGATGCAGTATCTCGAAGTACTGTTTACGAAAGCGAAGACTATCGACTCCAACATAGCGACCATTATAGTTTTGAGCCTTGGATTAATATCTGGTACTATAGCCACAGCGACGGTGGAAAAAGCTGGAAGACGATGTCTTCTGATGATATCCACGTTAGGATCGTCCGTTATGTTGTTAATGATCTCTGGTTATTTTGGTTTCATCGCCACTTACGGCGACGTTTCGGGCATCGACTTTGTGCCTATTGTCATCGTGATTTTGTTTCAAATAGCGTATCAAGTTGGTTTAGGCACATTAACCAACGCCCTCCTAGGCGAATTATTTCCCACGGAAGCGAAAAGTATCGCAGGTGCCATCGTTATGATATCTGACGGTATATTTGGAATCATTGTAACAAAATTGTATCAAGTTATCACCGACAATAAGGGACCGCATTGGATGTATCTCATCTTCGCGATATGTTGTGTCATTGCGTTCTTCATGGTGCTTCTCTTCGTACCGGAGACGAAAGGAAAAAATTATCAGGAAATTCGAGCGTTACTAATTCGTCCGAAAGCAGAAAGGGAGAACGCCCAAGTAGAGAACAGTGGATCAAGGAACGAGGAAAGGAGGGTCGAAATTAATGGCGATGAAGAAAGAAACGTGATAGTAAACGTCGCACACGAGGAAGAAAGTCCCGAGGGAAACATCGGAAAAAGGAAAAAAAAGTGATAGATATCACTGCACCGTAAGTTTGGTACAAGGTGCTTTTGGCTTTCTTGGATTTTCTTATTACTGATATTTAACGCTTATTACTAAGCGTTTTCGTCTTGGAGTCGCCACCAGACTCGTGCGCCCCAGACCAGAAGGTTTGGGTTGAACTACAAAGGCTTTGGATGGTGTGTCACCCATCCTGTAATGGATCCGCAACGGTGGTCGCCTAACCCTCGCGATTGCTTACGGTGCCAACATCCACCGGCAGACTTAGGAATTTCCCTTCTGGAACTTGTATTTGCTGTCGGTCGACTGCGGTATCCTAGACACCATCTTGGCTGAAGCGCTGGTGAACTCTTGATGTAGGAAGTTTTTAAGCGTTGACGTAGTAATGACGTAGAATTTGATGACGTAGAGATCAACTTAAACGTCGGGAGACGTCACAATATCAATTGACTCGAAACAATTAAATAATAGGATGGATGATTAAAAGGTGGAAAAAGTGACAAAAAGGTGAAGGATACTGACAAGAAAAATTTATAACATAATTATATTATATATATATATATGTACATATGCGAGTAG